GAAAGGAAGTAACTTTGCTAAAATCCATCTCATCTTCCACTCTGTTCATGACTGGGGAGAAAATAGGGTATCAGTTAGAGGAAAAGGGGATCTATTTAATTTTCTCCCTGTTATCTTTTGTGTTCCTCTAAGAAGAAGTATCAACACGTAGAGGCCGTTCCTTACACTGTGTCTCCTTGTGAGACTAATAGAAGGCAAGCCCAATGAGGCTGTTACTTGAGCTATGAGATTTTAGTTAGAAGCATGGAACGTGAGACTGGAAGGAATGTAATCGATCATCTATCTAGTCCCCTCCTCATATCTCCAGTGAGGGCACTAGAGTTGAGATAGATCAAAACTTAGTGAGACAGAGAGCCTAACGGTAATGAGCTCCAACTCGGGTACAGCTGGGTTGAATCCCTGCTCAGCCAATTACTGAATCACGTGTCCTTGGGCAAATTACTCAACCTCTCTATCTCAGTGTTTTCCTCTATAAGTTAGGGATAATGATGGTACCTGCCTCATAGGATTGTTACAGTGATTAAATGTGCTCAGGTGATTTTACTTTTGTCATCTATAATATTACCATAATCCTATGAGTAGGGACAGTGTTGTTATTTTAAGAAAGGGGAATCTGAGGCGTAGAAAATGAAGTCACTTTCCTAAATTCTTTGGAGTCCAACAGTGATCTTCTGTAGGAACCTCATACGACTACTTGCTGCCCTTGCAGGAGGAATAGCCTCATGCAGGCCTTCCACTGTGAAAGGTCCTGGTGTGTGGAGAACAGTCAGAAACTGTGTGGCTGGAACTCTGGGGTGAATGGTGGGGAGCAGAAAGCAGTGAGGGGAGAGCGGTAGAAAGGCCACTGTTTCATAAGAGGCCTTGTAGGCCTTGTGAAGAGAAATGAAGGACCAAGCACAGAGCTTTATCAGCTAAAGGACATGACCAGCTTTATCTTTAAGGGCCACACGCAGGTGGAACTACAGAAGTGGAGAGACAGTAGAAGGACAAGGTAAGGTGCTCTTTAAATAGCCTAGTCCTGTGGTCTCCAAACTTGGTTTATCACACGCCCTTTCAGCAGTGTTTAATCTGTTCATATATTTCTAAGTTATGTATATATTTAATTCAGTCCACAAACTAAACATATACTAGCAAAGCATACTTTCTTATTCTTAAAGAAAGAAAGTGAGTATGTATAAATGTTCTAATATTCCTGCATGTCAGCAGATTGTTTTGTGCCCTGAGCTGGGAAACCACAGGTGCAGGACAGAGCAAGACTGGGGGCTACAGAGGAGTGGGAGGACAGGGACTGAAGAGGACTCAGCAGCATCTGGTGGCTGATGGACGGATGAGGTGAAGAAGGGTAAAGGCCAGGTTCTAACAGAGTTCTAGTATGAGAGATGCAGAAGGTGATTACTACCATTAATTAGGCACTGAGTATCAGAGAAGGAACAGGCTTTAAGGAGAAAACAGTGGTAAGTTTAAGATTCTATGTTGGTTTCTGCCCAAAGACATTATAATACCATTTTTCTTTAGCAAGAATTGGGGGGGAAAACGTAAATACTGAGTTTTACCTAATACAGTAAGACAACATTTAAAGCATTTTGCTTTGCCTTCTATTCTGCACATAATTAAGTGCTCAGTAAATATTTAAGTGAGCATTTAAAATCAGAGTGAAACATTTATTAGAAGTGTTTATTTTTCCCCGTTAGGATACTTTAGGAGCAATTTAATATGAACAGTGTATTTTAGTTTTTTGAAAACTGATGTCCCTGGAAATATTTCCATTTAAAAAGCTCAAGAGTATGAAAACTAAGATTATATCAGAATGATTTTCCTGAGAACCTTACTTTTCAACCTATAAAATATTCTGTATAATCTGAAATTTATTTTCAGTACAGCCATTGTGATTTATATTTACAAGAGGCAGGATTTTAGTCCATAAATTGGTTTGAGGACTATGTTCAATACAGTAATTTGCTTTCATTTTTAACTGCCATGTCAAGATAGTCAAATTCAGAGTGAGTAGTTAGCATATTAACGACTCCAGCTCACATTTGGAGGTAATAATAAGCCCTGTTCTGCATATCAGGATTATGTTTGTGGAAGAAGGATTGTACTTATTGTGAGTACACAAAAATAAAGGAGCAGCTATGATTTGTATGCTTAATTTACAAATTGTTATCAATTCAGTGAATACTAAGGGAACAGTAAGTGATTAAAACATCTCCCCCCATATGACAAATATTTAATTAATGGAACCAAACATTTGGAATGTAAGTCAAGCCCAGTATTCCCAACACAATCTTATTTGAAAGAGAGTTCAAAAACTTAAGTAGTGAAGGTTCTGATGGTAGTTTTCCTCCTTACCCTTTATTGCATGCTGGTCGAAGGGAGCTATTAGCGACAACTGATGTCTTGTTTTACTAAAATTCTGTAACCTTCTCATAACAGGTTGACTTTGAAACTTGAGAGACACCTTAGAGACTATTTCTAAAAGACAGATTTTCTCCTTACTTGTTCCCAATTTGGTCTTGGAGTTAACTGAACACACTTTCAATACAATTGGTAATGATGGCTGCTTCCAAAATTTGTTGCCAAGAAAGGCTATACAGTTTTGTGTTCCCCTGATTACATTAGGCCATTGAACCACACTACAGCTGATAATTTCAAAAGAAGTAATTTTAATACTAGAGTGGTAATTGTTTAGGTCCTATTTGGTCAATCATATTTCTAATCTAACTCTATTGGCTAACTTTTCATTATGTTCCTCATCTGTCATTGAGTATAGTTTTGGTGGAACTCTATCCTCACTCACCCAGGCTCTTACTCTGCTGTGAAGATAGAATAAGAAGGACATTCTCCTGGTTAGGTCTTCATAGAGGAATCTATAGAATCTGTGCTTTAGACATTAATTTGAATTTCAGGATAATAGATTTCTATATGCTGAAGGATGACCTTATGAGCAGTAGAGTTTATGCTAGGCAATCTAACCTGGGGAATCTGGTATTCAGATATTACCCTGCCTCCCCACCAGACACCAAATCTTACCTTTATGCACCTGAATAGAAGTAGAATGTGTGGATCTTTTAAGAATAACTTTCTCCTTCTTCTCTTCTGCCGAGAGAAAGTAGAATAGCTGCTTAATTTCTGAATGGTTCACCATTTTAAGTTTGCAAACTAGGAATGACGTGTTCTTTCTACTGTTACAGTCGTATTTATTGAGAGCTCACTGTTTCAGGCGCTATCCTGATTCTTTTATACCCATTTTTCATAGCTATCATATCAGTGGTTAGTCCCATTTTACAGATCAAAAAAGGGATCAGACTTTTCCTAGGTCATGGTGTCAGGCCTGGTAGAAGTCATGCAAGGTAGCCTGACTCCAAACCAGTGTTTTGACATTTTCATGATTGGCTCTCAAATTTGGCTCTGCTTTAAAAGCATCTAGGGGCTTTAAAAAAAAGGGAGGGGAAGCACATGCTGGGGAGGAGCCCCAGACTAATTAAATCAGAATATCTTAGGGATGAGGTCTGGACAGTGGTATTTATTGGTATTTTTGGAAACATCTCCTGATGAGTCTAATGTGAAACCAGACTTAAGAACTGCTGCTCTATAATTACATAGCTTGTTTTAGTACTAATTTCACTTAATTTGATAAAGTGATCTGATAGTAGGAGATAGAGCACATCTAAAGACTTCGGGCTAGAATAGAACCATGGCAAAGATTTTACATACCTACCCACAGAATAACAACTGAATAATACGATTTTTTTAATACTGAAATTGTGGACCGTACTTATACCAGAAATAATGAAGGCTGTATATAAGAAGAAATTCAGAAAACTCTTAAACTATAAAAGTACATGTAGTTTAAAAAATACTGTTTCTATATGGAATTTCATTGTTTAAAATGTCTCTAATTTTTTCCAAGCTTTAATTCATTATCATGAGTTTAAAAATATTTGACAAGCTACTTGTATTTTAATGGTAAATATGGTACACATATGTAAGTATGATCTGTTATAATAGCCAATAAAATATTTCCATACTCCTGATTTTCAGAGTTGGGTGATTCTTTATAAAGATAGATAAGACTGTTATAAATACAGGCAGAATCATATTTGTTACATTTCATTTTATTAATTGACATTGGCTATGATGTAAGAACATAAAGTAACACTTAATGTGAACTACAGGTCTAGTTACTTCCTACTGAGAGATAACAGAATGTGAAAATTTACCATGCGTGTGAATAAGAGGGATTGAATTAAGATTACTGTGAGATTTTTCATCTTGAATCTCCTGAGCAGGCATGCTTACCTCACATTTATGTTCTGTTACTGAAATGTTTATTAAATTCAACACAGAGTTTCAAATGAATCAGTTAGACTCCAAGTCTGGAATGGATAGAATAGGTTGTTCATGTGGGTTGTTTTTATTTATTTTTTAAAGATTTATTTATTTACTTTAGAGAGAGAGAAAGAGAGAGTATGGGGGGAGGGGCAGAGAGAGTTTTAAGCAGACTCTGCGCTGAGCACAGCCCAATGCGCGGCTCGATCTCACAACCCTGAGATCACAACCTAGGCTGAAACCAAGAGTCGGACGCTTAACCGACTATGCCACCCAGGCACCCCTATGAGGGTTGTTTTTATATCATGCCATTTTGTAAAGCAAAAAAATACCTTGTATGTTAGAACCATTTAAAATGTCACAGAATTTAGGAGTGGTAATTCCTTTAGTTATCTAGAAGCTCAGAAAGGCAGTTGTGTTCAAAGTTACACAACTAGTGACAGAGCTGAAATCTCAGATGGGGCGTCTCCACTCCCTGTTCCTCTTCGTCCTCTACCAGACTGCATACTCACCTGAGGAAAAAACTCCAGATTGAACAAAATGGTTGATGCTTTCAATTTTTTTTTCAAGCTTTGTCTTTCCAGACCACCAAACATTCAAATAAATGTTACATATAAATATCCTCAACAACAAAACCCAACTTCTTAAATTGAAGAGGCAAAGAGAGATAATAGTATTGAATACTATCTTTCTAGGATAGCAGTATGTTTATTTATTTTTTAACATTAATCAGCCCCCTCCACCCCCAAAAAAGAACAAGAATGTTTAAGTGGGTAAAACTCTCAAAATATAAACCTCTGGAATTAGAAACACATTTAAGAAGAAACACTAATGTAGTGTAGATGTTAATAGGAAGATAATCCGTTTTACAGATTGCCCAACTCACATCTAGCTTTCAGTTCTGGGAGAGGCCCTTGAAGCCGTTACTGGAGTCAGCAGAGAAATCCTATGGTCGGCCTAGTGACGTAGTAAAGAAGTAGAGCCCCGAAGACTGCAGCTGTGGCCAAGATGACTCTTCTGACGTGCTGATGGGGAGAGTCCCCGACCACTGACATGGTCACACCCCCGCCAACAGTCCAAAAAGGCTTGTCACAGCCACTGAGCCCACGGCTTCAGGCCAGTTGTGCCGTCACCAAGAGGAAGCTCCACGGAGGCATCACACGTCACCTCTCCTTTGTCCTGTGTGGCCTCTATGGGCCTTCTTGCTGCTTGGATGGGAAAGTGGGGTCAGGCTGTATTACACCGAGCTCAAGGCCTCGTTCTCGCCGCTTGATTGTGGACCGATCTTTTCGGTCTAGCCTTGCTCAAATAGAGAGCAGCAAACTCAGACTCTAGCCAGGTTAATGATGTTTTGCATCCACCTACGAGAGAAAATTATATTCTCCCTCCCGCCTCCCATTTGTTTAAGTAATGTAAGATGAATGTCTAATCTAAGAAAATCCTGACATCCGAATGGCACGTGAAGAAACCAAACTTAATTCTAAGACCCATTTCCTTCCACAGGACTGCGTATAATCCGTAGGACTATCCGTAACAGTAGTGACAGAGAAACTGTGGGGTTTTCTAGGTTTCCCAGTGGTGTGGCCTCATTATTTGGTAGGCACTGATTTCACAGAGTTATGGCCATATTTAAATGTAAGCACGCATCTCCAGTCCCAAGACTAACATAGATGCTCTTTGAATCATTCACCAAAGACACCAAATGTGCCTCAAGAGTCTACTTTCTAAGCATGTATTATAGTTCATTAATGATGATAAAAACATCCCTATTACTCCGATTCTGAATGTTGCGCTGTGTTCTGTAGCCTAAACTAAAGCAACTCATCAAAATTGTGACAAGCGTAATTATGGTAGCAATGCTGTCTTTCAAAAATACACATAAAAATCATACATCTCAATAGATCATGTGCTTAGTTATTTTAGCAGTGGGGATTTTTTTTGCATTAAGTCAGAATTTGTTTAAATGGGACTATTGTATTTATACAGGTATGTGACTGACTTTACAACTTGGCATCTTACAAAGATAATGACACATTTTGGTGGATTTGAATTTCCAAAATCCTTTGCCAGGTAGGAAAGGGAGAAATTACATATAGGTTTTATGGCTTTTCATGAATAGACCATTTTCTTTTTTTGGTCAAAAATATGAAGAAAACGTATTAGGTAGTGATGCTTTTAGACTTCTCATGCTTCTCGTAGCAAAAATACAAACTGCTGGAAAAATTCTTTTATTATAGATCTTTTAAAGGCGAAATTCTGAGCAAATTTTATTCTTCATAGTGGGCTAAGGGAAAAAGACATTATGTGTTGTAAACCTCTTTTTCCCCTGCATATATTTATTCATGGTGTTTAGTAAAAATAATGTTTCTGCTAAGAACGTTTGTAATGATTATTCCACATACTAAAATTTTCAATTAAAATTGGTGGGACAGTGAGAAAACCTAGAGGACCCTGTATTATAATCTCTTATAATTCTTTTGCATGATTTATACATATTACCCCATTCATTTACATTTTGAAATACATGCTACTGTATTTTCCAGATTATAGCTCTACTTTATTCAAAATGCAGTTTCTGGACCAAAATAACCTCCTTTTATGTTTTGTGGTATGGCAGATTGCTGTTGCATCGAAGCTTTTATTTCTAAGAAATGTACTACATGAGGGTGTTAGTAATAGCTTTGCAATAAAGGAAGCTCTGTGGTGGAAGCAGAGGGGCCATAGTGGATAAACTGTGCAAAAGGCTGCTTGTTTGGAAGTCAAACTTAATTTAAAAGAGCTTTCAATCACTAGTTAATATAACTGCTTTAAATTTACAGACAGTGGGAGTAGCTCACCGTTACCCAAGTACGCTTCATCTCCCAAACCAAACAACAGCTACATGTTCAAACGGGAGCCCCCAGAGGGATGTGAGCGAGTGAAGGTCTTTGAGGAAATGGCGTAAGTAATGTCTTTTCTGTCAGCTGGGATCCGCAAAGCTGTAAAGCTTTTTACTGAGACCAGTTGATCACGGATGAATCAACTACTCCATCCAGCTGATAATGTGTTTCAAAACCAAATTATGAAAAGGGAATTGAATAGGCAGGAGGGATCTTAGTGGGCAACTGGAGCCTGTGTGCTGGAAATACATAAGCTAGTACAAAGAAGCCTGGAAATTCATCCCTACGACCTAAAAGATCTATTTTTTAATCACGACAAATTTTCCTTTCAAAAGCTCTATTAATTTGGATGGCTAACGAGAAGGCGTTGAACGGCAAAGTTAGTATCCAAGTGTGGCCGGCCTTATGACAGGATCCCACAGGCCAGAAGGAAACTAACTTGTCTCCCTGTAGACACATCTAGCATGTGTATTCGTTTAATGTAGACTTCTCATTCGCACGGTGTTTTTTTTTTCTTTTTGAAATTTCAGTGTGCGTAAATTAGAAATTAAAGGGAACGAAGTTCATGCTGTAAATACTTGGCAGAGTGGCTCAGGAAAAAAAAAGAAAAGGCTGTGTAGCTGTTGGACTCACTCATCCCTTTGTGCCAGTGCGGTGCCTGGGGGAGGCCGCTGTACTCTTGCGACCTGGAAGGGGACAGAGACGGGTCTTGCAGGATTGCAGGAGTTGATGGCTTAGTTCCTGGGAATGGGAAGGGAGGAAAGGTTGAGAACCCTGCTCTGTTGGGCTGACTGGCTCTTTGAGAAATTACTGAAACCTTTTTTTTCTGATCTGTTAGAAGTATGTATAGTGATGCAGAAAAAGGAGAAAATGCTTAAAACCAAATACATGATTAGGTAATCCCTCTCCCATTATACTTTTCCTTAACAGAAAAGGTCATTCTCCCTGGCATAATCTTTAACTAAAGCATAGGAGGTTTTTCCATCTTCCTAAATGATTGAAAGCAAACTAATGATCTCTGAAAAAATTTGCCCCGTCCTTTTGAAAATCATTTTGTCTCAAATATCACTTGGTGCTGTGTACGTCCCTGGTCTGCCAGCTGACTTGTGCTATGGAAGATGTTTACCCCTCTGTGTACACTTAACTCATTCCCTGCCATTCACATTGTAGCTGTTGTAGAGAACTCCAGCTAAGTCAGAAAGCTTGGAAGCTTTTAGTGATTGTGAATGTCATTTTGTTTTACGGTTTTAGGTCTCGTCAGCCTATCTCAGCCCCTCTCTTTTCATGTCCTGACAAAAACAAGGTTAATTTCATCCCAACCGGATCAGCTTTCTGTCCTGTAAAACTTCTAGGCCCTCTCTTACCTGCCTCCGACCTGATGCTCAAGAACTCTCCTAACTCAGGCCAGAGCTCGGCCCTGGCCACCCTGACCGTCGAGCAGCTCTCCTCCCGGGTTTCCTTTACGTCTCTTTCTGATGACACCAGCTCGGTGGGCGCCCTGGAGGCCTCCGTCCAACAGCCATCCCAGCAGCAGCAGCTCCTGCAGGACCTGCAGGGTGAGGAACACATCTCTGCTCAGAACTATGTGATCATCTAAAGCAAAGGGGGAGCTGGCCTCTACCCTACCTTCACGGATTAGGAACTAGACCTCAGACATCTTATCTGCATGGAGTGACAAACTTTCGGAACACCACCACCACCAACAGAATACTTATCAGCATCATAAAGTATCTCTTAACACTGATCTTGGCAGGGACGGAACTCCTATTCAGCAGTTTTTGTGGAAAGCAGTACTGCTTGCAAAATGTGTGTGTCATTCAGCATTTTAAGTGGAGACTATGCATTTCATAGTATGTTTGACAGATTAGTACTGTGTCCCGTGTTTTGTTCCAAATTCGTCAGTATAAATAAGCTCTATATCAAAAAGTTGCCTGTCTAAATAGAAAATGTCTTGCTGTGTTTTGTCCTATGGAAAATACTGTACTTCAGGATTATGTTTACAATTGATCCAGGTGTTTGTTTCTAACTTCTGTAATACATACAATGCAAAAAAATAATAATAATAAATGGCCACAACAGTTGCACAGGGCCCACCCTATGGCCTAGCTTCAGGTACTTCAGTTGAAGTCTAAACTCAGGTAACTTGGAATGTATATCATATTGGGATATTAAATATTTCACAGCTAAAAAGCTAAAGAGGGAACATCACTCTTTTGCCTTTCCTTATTTTATGCATTTCCCTTTCCTCATTACATTCCACATTCTTAGAATAAGAAGTGCATTCAACCCTAGGAGAACAATAATCCTGGACATGGGTGAACATGAGGAGAACCAGCAAATCTGTGGTGTCTGACATCATTTTTGTCATGCGGTGACAAGTAAAACAACTGTTGAATTCACTTTTCAACATGTGTAAATGTGGCTTTTTTTTTTTTTTCCAAACAAGTTCAGGTGTTGCTCAGTTCATGACTTATAATGTTGCAAAGAAAGTGTCTCCGGTACCAGACTGTACATAAACATTCCAATTGTGTGTGATGGAATTTAACAAGAAAGTCTAGGTTTAACAGTAAAACTGAACTTTCACAGGGGATGGGTGAGATTTTCTGTTTATGTTGGCCATCAGCATCAGGAAATGCTGTTTCAGCTAAAGGCATATTGTTCAGTTTCTCTCTCGGAAGTTCTTTAATTTGAGGGTTTTACAAATGACACGCTTTTGGTTATTGTTTTTCTCGAGCAGTTGAGGTGCATTAGTTGCATTCATGTGGAGAGAGAATGTGTGGGTCTCAGAAGTAATGCTGCACGAGAAGCTGGCTGTTTGGGGACTTAGAAAAGCAGCATTTTGCGGCTGTCTCTTCAGGCCTCTCCTCACAGTATCTTGGATGGTTCTGTATTTCAGATGTGCAAAGTAAAGCAAAAACCCAAGTAAATTGCCTTGAACTTGCAGACTCAGACCTGAATTTTCAACGAAGTTGTGTGAAGAGAGCCCTAGATAATCCCGAGTGGTCAGTGGAAGAGCCCAACTCTCAAACTTTGTTTTCTGCAGCACAGAGAGTTTCCAAAAGCAAAGGGAAGTTTTTGTATTTTTATTCCATTGCTTTTAGTTCAGTAAAGCATAGAGTTGTTTCATCTGTACCTACAGCATATGGCACCGTTTTCTTAAGAATTAGGGGAATAAGGTGCCTACAGTCACGGGAACGTTTCAGTTCCCCTTCAGTCATTCCTCGGGGTTTCTTGGTTTTATTTTCTAAGGAGGCTGAAGAAGGAAGAGGTGATAGAGAAGAAAGCAACACCATTGATTTTTTTAAGAAGTGATATATATATATATATATGTATATGTTTGCGTGTGTATGTATTCTATGTATTATTTTGTTATGATCCCAATTATCTTCTTTCCACCAAAGTTTGCAGTAATATTCTCTCCTGAAGGTGCATCCTGGCTCCTTTATATTAGTCAGTGTTATATTGTAGGAGACTGTCATAGAAAAGGACTCAGTTTACTTTTGCCATTTTCACAGGGGAACCTTTTAAAACAATCTCTTCAGCAGCAGACACCTTTAACCCTAATAATCTCAGGCCTTGATGAAAATACTATATTTTGTAGATTATGGTTAAAGGGAGAAAATTATTAGTTCTGTAAGATAAATATGAGCTCCATTAACTTCTGATATCTGGTTTAGCATTACATAATGTGTTGATCTTACGCTCTGCTTTTGTCCAAATATGATGCAATAGTATCAGAATCAATTTCTGAAAGTTGGACTGAATGCTTTTTTGGTGATGAAATCTGATGTATGGTATTTATAGTGACATGTGCTTTTATTTTCTCATGAGAAACTAAATATTAATTGTGTTGTACATTTGTTCTTAGCATATATTAAAGTTTTGAACCAAATGTGTTAAAGCTTATGCTTTGCCATGTAAATTTCCCAGAAGTTGTTGAGCTCAAATGTATCCTACATCCAGCTGTAGAAATTTGTCAGAAATTGTTTAAATTTTGTATATAGTTGTACTGTTTAATTCTAGCCACTGCGCGGAACAGTATTCGAGTTACCATACAATATGGCTTTACACAAGGAAATGTGTGGCTTTTGTTTTGTATTTTTTCAGTATAGAAGTTCCTGTGTCTTATTTAAATAAAGTTATTAGTAAAACTGGAATAGTTCACATATGTCTTCGGAAAGACTGGGTTGTTAGCATCTTACCTTGACAGAGATGGACTCAGATCAGGGTGATGGCAGTATATCCAGTGCTCACTGAATTCCTGACCTGCATCTCTGGCACTAGAGGGACTCTGACTGGATCAGACTTCCAAGCCGGTTTCCTCTGGACATGTCATTTATATGCTTTCCATCACAAGGTAAGAAGCTGGATGACTAAAGTTCCAAGTCTTTGTACTGCTCTCCCAGCTATGAGCACCTTAAAGAGAGGAAACACTGTCCGCACCTCTTTATTTTATACCCAGGAATTATTTATGGAAGTAATTTGTTTAAATTCAGTGACATCACCTCAAAGGAAGTAGGGTATTTCTCGCAAAGAAAACTGCAGCAAAAAAATTTTTTTTTTATTTTTTACTCATTATTTAGGTTTAGATTCGAGATAAGAGGGAGAAAACCTTAACAGAACAAAGGAGTGTTGATGTTATACCCAGTTATCCAAATAGGGTCATGATAGGCCCCATTTTGGTCTCGGGCCACTGCCCGAGAGCAAAAACCGCTTTGAGAAATAATTTACCAGCAGAGTGTTCCTTCCAAAGCACATCTCATCAAAGAGGTTGTTAAGATTTTACCTTTAAGATTAACTTAAAAATGACTAGTGGCTGTGTTTGGGGCTGAAAAAAAAGTAAAATGTAACTTTTTTTAATGGTGAGATTTACCAACCACCTTCTTGAGGATGATATATAATTTAGTCAGGAAACTATCTTAGGTTAAAAGTTCCATTACAGGTGACTGTTAAGGAAAAGTGGGATTCTCAGCTCCGCCTCTGCTTGACTCTCAGTCATATAAGCTTAATATAAACAGCCCTGAGGGAACAAGTTCGTATGTGCAAAATGAAACCTAAGGAACCAAAACCAAACCAAAACCAAACCTAAAGAACATGGAGGGGGAAATTAGGTCTAAGAACTTATAGATGCTTAGCCTTATGTTAGCTAAAACTAATCACTTAAAGTTTATTTGTGAACAGTGCAAAATTAAATGTTTGCCCCCACCCCTTCCCCTCTGAAGTTCCATTATTTCTACGTGTTCCCAGCAGCTCCTCCCTTCGACCCCATCTGTGGGACTCACAAGTCTTTCCCACACACACACACACACATCTCTGGTGAACTCTGGGCTCTTTGGAGCTGAGGAGCTTTGTGAAGATGGGTCCTTTAATTCACACCTTGAGTCAGAACCGGAACGCTATCATCCAGCCCCCCTGCCCCGGTTCTGGTTGTCTAGAGGACATCTCTTCTCAGATTTCTTGTCTCATCTCCGCTTCATTGATTAAATGGAATGAAGACACTGTCTTGTCTCATGTTGTACCAAATCAGCTCTTTTCCTTTATATTCCAATTCTTCCTTTTCCCCAGAGAACAACTGGAATCCCATGTCCTGAAGTTTTTCTCCACCTAAATCTCTCACATTTGCCTTTCTGTCTTCCTATTATCTTGCTATTAAATTTCAAGCTACAGCTCAGACAGCTATGTCTTGTGGATGAATTTCTTTTGGAATTCTGATGGCAAGGAAACAGACTTCCAATAACCTCTATAGCCCATGGCCAAATCTGCCCCATGCATATTTTTGTAAATAAAATCTTACTGGAACAAAGCCACACTCACTTACGTATTACCTATGGCTATTTTGCAATACATTGGCAGAGTTAAGTAGTTGCAATAGAGACAGTCTGGCCCACGATGCCTAAAACAATATTTTACTATCTGGTCCTTTACAGAAAAAAATGTACTGACCTTTGCTATAGACCAAAGAGCAAACTGGATATAGGCAACTTGGATCATACACACAGTGGTTTTTAAAATATGTCCACAAATTCTTTTGATACTCCTCTCAGAGAGGTATAGCTTCATTTTCCTCCCCTTGAAGTGTGGGCTGGACTTATGAATGGAATGCAGCAGTGATGGGCTGTCACTTCCAAGATCACGTTGTGGAAAGACAGGCTTCTGTGTTGGGCGTATACTCTCGTGGATCACTCGCTATGGGAGAAGCTCTGCTGTGAGGACACTCAGGAAGTCTGTGGAGAAAGACCCACATGGCAAGTAGCTTTGGCTGCCAGCTAACGAACTGAGGGGCCCTGCCAGCAGCCATGTGGGTGAGCTTGGAAGCGGATCCTTCAGCCCCAGTTGAGCCTTGAGATGAGTGCAACCCCAGCCAGTATCTTGGCTGCAGCCTCACGAGAGACCTTGAGCCAAGCCTGCTAAACCACACCTGGGTTCCCAACACTCAGAAACCGTGTGAGATCAGCAGTTTGTTGTTTTAAGGTGCTGAGTTCGGGGGCAATTTGTTACATAGGGTTGGACAACTAATACGACACAGCAGTGCCCTCCGTGCCTCTCTCCACCCACATCGACCCATTACTGCCATGGAGGTCTCACCTAGGGTCTTGTTTATGCCATCCTGTCCCCTGGGTCCAGAAAGTGAGGCGTGCCTTTTTAGAATGAACGCTTCTTGAAAAAAGCCCTGTTGGGGGATGCCTGGGTGGCTCAGTCGGTGAAGCGTCTGCCTTCGGCTCAAGTCATGATCCTAGGGTCCTGAGATCAAGTCCTGTGTCGGGCTCCCTGCTCAGCGGGGAGCCAGTTTCTTCCTCTGCCACTCCCCCTGCTTGTACTCTGTCTCTCTGACAAATAAAATCTTTTTTTTTTTTTTTAAAGATTTTATTTATTTGACAGAGATACAGCGAGAGAGGGAGCACAAGCAGGGGGAGTGGGAGAGGGAGAAGCAGGCCTCCCGCGGAGCCGAGAGCCCGATGCGGGGCTCGATCCCAGGACCCCGGGATCATGACCCGAGCCGAAGGCAGACGCTTAACGACTGAGCCACCCAGGCGCCCCTCTGACAAATAAAATCTTAAAAAAACACACAAAAAAAAGCCCTGTTGGACTAGGTTGAAGACAAAGCTTCCTCACACAGGAGTTTGTTATTTGAACAACTCACGACGTTACATATACTGTATGTGCCTAAAAGTTATCTTGTCTAATATTAAACCATCTTATCGAAGACAATAGGGGGAGAAGTTAAACCCTTGCAGAAAAGCATTCCCTATGGAAAATGATACAAGAAGAGGTGGGACAGGTGATCAGTTTTCAAAGCTGGAAAAAAAGAAAAAGCAGAATCTCAAGACAGAATTATTTCCACCTCGAATGTCTTAGTTTTTTTCCTTAGTGGGAGGCTGGTGACACACTGGTTCTAAAATGGCCTATTCCATTTTACAAGCATTTGCGTCTCCCAAAGAGAGGAAGGTTGTTTCAAAGGTTCCAGATCAGTTTGGTGATGGACCCTCCCATTTAAAACAGCCATTTTCTTAACACTAAGAATTTGAATAATTAGATCACTTTTCCTACAGACGATTTTCTGATAACAAGGAATGGGTCCCCTTTCACACTATAAATTCCACTCAAGTCTTGGCATCAGTTTTAAGCAAGACTTTGATGATTCCTTTAGAAAGAATTGGGTAAGGTCCCGGAGGCAATGGATGTTATTTCAAACCACTGTCTGGAAGCAAGGGGGATAAAAGGTGGATGCAGGGCTCCACAGGACCTGCCAAATGGGGAGGAGTCTTCATGCAAGAAAGTCAAACCATTTCTCAGGTTTTCTCTTCCACTTCGTAAAGGAAAAGGGTTACACTCAAGGGACAAAAGTTAACAAAGGACACGGCTCAGGTGCTGCAATAAACAGCTTGCCATTTTCCATATGGACTGAAATCAAGGCAAACGGGGTAATCTTAACTCACTCTTAATCTGCCCATTTGATTACCAACAAAAGCCTGGTGTGGTCTCTTCTGCTTCCCTTCCCTGTGACCACCCTGGGAGCTATTGTATGGGGAACGGATTCCTTTTCCAATCCCTGACCCTTTCTCCCCATCAATCCCCTTAGTCCACGACCATTGCAGCTGGTCGTGCAGGAGGACGGTCACAGGGGGAGGGGACAACCAGGGAGGAGGGACTGAAGATGGTTACACCTGGGAAATAGGGCCTGTGGGAAAGGGGAAGAGAGTGTGAGGCGAGCTTTCACAATATTCATATGTCCTTTTGAAATACCTAATTTTTTTTTTCCTGCCAATGAGTAGGTATTCCTGCTGTCATGTTTCATAAAAGAAGACAAGGAAGCAGCCTGACCTTCTTGCTGCAGCATTGCTGGCAATCCTCTTCCCTTCTCACCCACCGTCCACCCATCAACCAGCCTGCAACAGCTACTGGATAGCACTGGGCTGACTGCTTTTCCTAGTCCCTATAAAGACGAGGAGAAATTCAAGGGAAGTGATCAACATGAAAATCAATGTTTAACCTCACTAGTAATCAAAGCAGTGCAAATTAAAACAATAATTTGTTGCCTTTAAATTGGCAAAGATTAAAAAGGATGATAGTGTTAAGGGGGTGGAGGGGATAGGGTCACTCTCACATCTGCTATTAGAAGGATAAATCGGTACATCCTTTCTGAACAAGAACACGGTAGCACTTACACCTAGGGGTGAAAAGCAGGTCACAAACTAGTGTGATCTCTTGGTTTTGTAAAAATATATATATGTGAGTAAAAACAAAACAAAAAAAAGACATGAATGTACAAAAATTAAAGTGGTTATGCTTTGATTGTGGATACTTTGCCTTAACATTTACATTTCTGTTTTCCTAAGTTTTCTCAGAAACCTTATAATTTGAGAGAAAAATGCATGTTAATTTCCAGATATCAAGGGAGGGGGGAGAAAAGTAGGAAAGAAAGGATATGGCAGCAAAAGATAGAGTTTTAATGGAAATGAGCAGCAGATCTCTTAAAGTCAAGGTGGCTGGAGAGACTACCTGGAAGAGTAAACTCAGTTCAATGGAAGAATCCAAATGTACATATAGTTTCATGCCCTTTCCACTTTCTCAGAAAAAAAAAATGGCCTCAACACCCTCATACTCCCATAGACAGGATTGAATTATTTAAGTCTAGAATGACGTTTGGGGAAGTCTGGAGTTGTAGTTCAGGGGACAGAGCATTCCCTGGAGTGTGGCCCTCCACCAGCCCTCCATCAGTTGAGATGGATTTATGAAGTGGGCACCAGAGAGCCCAGAAATCTGTCCTGTCATTTATCCTTCTTGAATTGCCTCATCTAGAAAACGACAGAAACCTGAAAATGGCCAAGAGATTGTTCTTGAATGTGATCCATATTTCTCAATACACTCTTGATGGAGAGCTGTTTAGTTTCATTTTAGAGATTGTCTGAAATGGATGAACGTGAGATGGAGGTCATCAGAATTTGTATTAGAGAAGATTGGGGATCGAGGCCCTCGACAGGCTGCAGTGGGTCCTTTGGCTCGAGAATCACCAGTGTAGCATCTGGCTCCTCCCATTCATCTTTGAATCTGTAGCTGCATAAGCCGCTTGGGGATTCAGACACTTGCTTATTTCTCTTTCTTGGTACGTTTCTCCCCTTTACGCACCAAACTGACTCTCAGCACGTTGCTGTTTGTGATTTCGGTCAGCTGACAGGCCACACCTGTTCTGGCGTGTTGGAAGCCAGAGGCAGTGTGGTATAAGGCAATATGGTCCAGGACTGGCCCTCAGACAAGAATGAGCGTGGGAGTCTTTATTTGTAAAATATAGCGATAATCATTCTCAGTCAGCTTTAGCCGTAATGAAAGAACCCAGCCTGGGGGGCCTAACCAGGAGAAATTTATTTCTCACAGTTCTGGAGGCAGGAAGTCCCAGATCAATGTCCAGCAGTGTCTGGTTTCTAGGGAAACCTTTCTGGCTTGCAGACAGCTCCTCACATGGCCTTTCCCCTGTCTCTTCTTATGACACTATCCTATTGGATAAGACCCCACCCTTAGGACCTCATTTTACCTTAATTACCTCCCAAGTCCCTATCTCCAAATACATTGAGTCTTCAGGGTTCCCAACATTTGAACCAACAGCTTCAACATCTGAATCTTTGGGGAGACACAATTTAGTGCAGGGCAAGTACCTGCCTTCCATTAGGGAAATGCAAATTAAAACCACAATGAGATATCCCTTTGTCCCCACCAAGATGGTTATAATCAAAAAGACAAGTAGTTACAAGCGTTGGTGAGGATATGGAGAAATTGCAACTCTCACATACTGCTGACGGTCCTGCAAAATAATGCAGCCACTTTGGGAAACAGTCTGGCAGTTAAGCATATGACCCAGCCATTCCATTTCTAGGTATGGACCCAAGACAGTAAGAACATGTGTCTACACAAAAACCTGTACACAAATGTTCATAGCAGCATCATATATAATAGCCAAAAAATGGAAAGAATTCTAATGTCCATAAATTTAATGATGGGATAAATGAGCCTGAAAAACATGCTGAGTGAAAGAAGCCAGTTAAAAAAGACCATATATACTTCCAGTCATATGAAATGTCTGTTACAGGAAAATCCATAAAGGCAGAAAGTAGATTAGTGGTCGTCAGGGTCTGGGGTAGGCTGGAATGGGGAGTCATTGCTAATGGGTACAGCATTTCTTTTGGGGGTAACGAAAAGTGTTCTGGAATTGGATAATGGTGATTGTTGCAGAACATTGTGAATATACCAAAAATCACGGAGTCGTACACCTTAAAAGGACAAATGTTATGGTATGTGAATTGTAATTCAAAAAATAGAACTCAACATGCCAAAAGTTCCTACTGTGTAGGGTAATTAAGAGGATGAAAGGGACTTAGGTGCATGTAGCAGAGTGTGTGGCATAAAGCACCCCATGGATAATAGCTATTTTTATTTTCTATAGTCCATGTAGGGTCAGAAAATGTGAAGGTGGTAAAACCATACACATGGTTCCATGAGCCAAAAATCTCTGTCTCTAATGTCCTCAAGGACACTCACTGCATGGCCCTACTTCTTCCTGTGCTGTTCACTGTCTGTCATTTGCATCTCTCCTTGCCTTCAGCAGGTGGGTCAGTCAGGCACCCACCACCCTGGCTGCCATGTAAAAAGCCCAAGTGTGCACCTCCCACCTCATTCTCCCACAGACCCCCACGTCTCCCCTGCTCACCGCGCCTGTGGGCCCAGCTCTCCTTACCTGCCCACACCCGGAAGGCAAGGCCAGAAGGACAGGACACTTCAGGCTCCAGCCTGGGTCCACTCCTGTCTTTTCCAGGTGCTTTGTCTTTAACCACGGGCCTGGTTTATAGGGCAGAAAAACCAGCCTGTCTGGTTCTGGGCTTCTCTCACCCCAGGCTTGCCTTGAAGCCCAAGATAAAGCAGCGAGGGTTCCCCTGGGGCTGGTTCTGAGGGCAGGTAACAGATGGGCGGCAGAATGCAGGTAGCAAGAGCTCGGGGTCGTGTGTTGTCAGGATTTGTTCTCTCCCTGCTAGCTTCTTCCTTTCCAGCTGGAGTCCAAGTCACAGCTCACCCAGGATGGCAGCTCCTATTGGCAGGATAAAAATAGCCCTCAGTTTGCGGAGGCCCGCGCCCGGCCAACTCCGCCATTCAAGGCAAGGAGAGAGGGAACAGTCCAGGATGGTTGTGACTTCCCCACAGGGAAAGGTGGCCAGAGGAACCTCCTGCTCACTGGCCCGTGCATGAGGCAGGCTTTTAGTGCTCAGGGAGGTTCCAGTCACATTGGTGCCCTCAGCATTAGCGTGAAACCTGTGATTAGCGTGGTTCTTTTATTGTTCATCGACCCCCTTTGAGAATTTATGGAAGCTCTAGACCATTTCCTCAGGAAAAAAAAAAAAAAATCCACAGAGGTGCATTTTCACACACACAAAAATTACATATCTCAGAGGATGTACAGAACTCTTGAGGCTAAGAGGTCCATAAATCCCTAGACCAGAATAGAGTACAAAAGGGATGAAAGAGTTTATAACCCAGCCATCGGAATAGCAATGAAGTGTAGGAAGAGAATGGAAGCAAGGGTGTTGATCTGTCAAGTGCTGTGTCCTGAGAATGCCTTCTGTTTGTGCCGGGGACAGGGGGACAGCAGACGATGCTCTAAATGTGGTAATGACCCTTGGGGCACCACGGACCAGGTCCAGAAATACCAGCAAGGAGACACCCCAGACCAAAATCAGTAAGAGAGGTCCCTGGGAAGTGGCTGAAAAAGGAAGCCCCAGAGCTGATACACGATCCAGCCTCTACTGATGAGGCATTTCTAAAATCAATTGCCTCCTCCTTGGATGCCAGAGGCTCTGGATGCAGGCCCCTGTCGGGCTTCAGAGATTTCCTGAGCACTTTGCATCAGCTCTCTGCTAGGGCAAGTTATAGAAAAGTCACTCACCCAATTGCAAAGGCCAGCAGTTATCCACATTGAGATCTTTCCCCGGGGGTGTATTCCAGACGTGGGAGAAGGGGCATCGCATTGTGCTTGGATGGACCACTGAAGTGCTACAAGAATGTCAGGCAGTAGGAGTAGAGGAGAAAGGAAGACGTTGGTCAAGGCGTCTGTGGCGCCTCAGAGTTCAACTGAGGTTAATCCTGTTCTCCAGGGGAGCACTGGTTCAAGGAATATGGCCAAATGCTTGAGCACTCTACAGCAAGCATTTGGGCATGTTGAGAACAGTAGGGCCCTCGGCTCAGCTTTTACGAATTAATGATCAGAAGGCAGGACATAGGTATTATATTAAGACCAGAAGTTCTCTTTTCAGAGGAAAATACAAAGAGGTCCCATTGGCTCCAGAAAGTTAGGTGAGCAGCAGCTGAGCAGGGATGCCCGTGCTGACGAAGCGACTTGGGCTGTTTCTGCGGTCTGGCCTCTACTAGCCATCTTCCCTCCTCCCCCATGTTATCTGTCTACACTGCACCTCTGCTGCTGCTTGCTCGGTTTCTGATGACTCAGAAGGCTCCTATCACTTTATAGCAACTGTGCATGGCTTCTGTTCATCTGGGTATCTATGCTGTTGTAACTGACAAATTGCTTCATATCATCGCCAGCTCAGAATCAAAGGCGGGAGAAGCTGATAAACTCTGACTCCTTTCTGGGTGAAAAGGTCTTGTGCCAGGCCCACCACACTGGCTTCCTGAGCTAGTCAGCTGAGACCGGGAGGGCCTGTGTCTGACAGCGTGACTTACCAGCTAAGACCATGTCCCTTGTAGCAGAATGGGAGCTGGGACTGCTTAGAGGTGGGACGTGCATGTCACTGACATGCTTCGTCAGGACACTCACCCAGAACTGTCCTCTTCTCCCGTAAGACAGAACTGCTACTATTACCAGACCTTGGTCTGCCACAAAGAAAACGAAACAGCCCACCAAAAAACCCCCTCCTTTAACACACATATATTGTTTCTTTTGACCAAACTAGATTTAAGGTTTTCAAAGTCAGCTTTAAAGACCAAGAGCCTTTTTATTTTATTTTAAGATTTTATTTATTCATTTGAGACACAGAGATACAGAAAGAGGGAGGGAGAAAGCATGAGCAGGGAGAGAGGCAGAGGGAGAGGGAGAAGCAGGCTCCTCGCTGAGCCAGGAGCCCGATGTGGGGCTCGATCCCAGGACCCTGGGATCATGACCTGGGCCGAAGGCAGACACTTAACCATCTGAGCCACCCAGGCGCCCCCCAAGAGCCTTTTTAAAGCAGAAATAGAAGTACTCATGAAATACCCCACCTATGCTGTCCCATCTTCCAGGCCCCGGCAGTGAGGCATGTGGCTATTTCTGGCCAGGGGGCCGTGGAAGGAAGAAAAGTGGGTTTTTCTTCAGATGAAACAGCACAGCCAATACGTGATGGCACTCCACCTCTACCTTTCCTTGCTGCGGTGCCCAAGCAGCTCAAGTGTTTGTGTCATCAGCCATAGGCTGGTGATGCTCCATCAGCATGCATCCCTGGGGCTTCGTGGGGCACAGTCCCACTGACCCACACTGGACATAGAGCATAAGTGAGGAAGGAAGGAAATTTCCTGGTTATAAGCCACTGAGATTTTCAGTACTTGCTGCTGAAGCACAGCCTGCCCTATCCTGACTTACCCGCAGATGGATCGTGGACACCTCCCAGGAGGACACTGTGAATAGAGTGATCTTCTGTGGACCTTCCAGCTGAGCAGACTCCCAACTCTGCAAACCCATGGAGTCTCTCTGCTTCCCTTGTTATTTCAGAGACTCACTGACCAGGTAGAGCAGCATCACTTGGTGAAAGATCCAGAATTCAATTTCTTTCCTTCTTTCATTTCTTTAAAACCATACTTACTGAGGATTAATTTATATACGTAAAATTCATCCTGTTTAGTGTAGGGTTCCATAGATTTTGATAAATGCACACAGTTGTGTAGCCACCAATATAATTTACAGAAGAGCTCCGACCTGGTGCCTGGGTGGCTCAGTCGGTTGGGCGACTGCCTTCAGCTCAGGTCATGATCCTCGAGTCCCGGGATCAAGTCCTGCAACGGACTCCCTGCTCAGCAGGGAGTCTGCTTCTCCCTCTGATCCTCCCCCGTCTCATGCTCTCTCTCTCTCATTCTCTCTCAAATAAATAAATAAAATCTTAAAAAAAAAAAAAAAAGAAGAAGAAGAAGAAGAGCTCCAACCAATACCAACTTTTCCTTGGGCCTCTTTGGAGGGAGTCCAGCCCTCCCCCTGGCCTCAACCCTTGGCCACCACTGACCTGAGGCCTATCCTTATAGGTTTACCTTTTCCAAAATGGCATACAAATGGAACCACACAGATATAGCCTTTTAAACAAAAAACCTTTTTATTTTGGAATACTTTCAGATTGACAGAAAGTTGCAAAGATAGTACAAAGTTCCTTACCCAGCTTTTGCTAATGCTAACATCTTGCACAGCTATAGTATTTTGACATAGTAGTCAAAATTAGGAAATTAACATTAGGACAATACTATTAATGAAACTATAGACTTATTTGGATTTCACCCATTTTTCCACTGATATTTTTCTGTTCCAGGATGTGCCACAACATTTGGTTGTCCTGCCTCCTTAATTTCCTCCCATCTGTGGTGGTTTCTCAGTCTTTTCTTGTTTTTCACGACCTTGACACTTTTGAGATACATTGGTCAGGTAATTTATAGAACATCGCTCAATTTGAGTTTGTTTGATATTTCTCTTACGACGAGACTGGGTTATGAGTTTTGGGAAAGAATACTAAGAGAGGTGAAGTTCCCTTCTCATTGCATCATATCAGAGGTACATGATAGCAACATGAATCCTCAGGTGGTTGTATGAATCAATAGTTGCTTCATGTTCACTGCTAAATAAGATCTCAATGGATGCATGTGCCATGGTTCCTCATTCACCAGGGGAAGGATATTTGAGTTTCTGGTTTTTGGAGATTATGAGTAAAGCTGCTACCAACATTCACATCTAAGTTTTTGTGTGAACATATATATATATTTTTTCTCTAGGGTGAATTCATAGGTGTAGGATGACCAGGTTGTATGGTGTGTTTAACCTTATGTGAAACCGCCAAACTTTTCCAAAGTGGCTGTTCCATATTGCTTTCCCATCAACAGTGTGTAAGACTTCCAATTTGCTCTGCATCCCAGTTCCTTTTGATCAGTGCTCTGGGTAGTGGTTCATTTTAAAAATACCCTTAAGTTTGGCAAGTTTTGCAGCATGTCCCTTCTAACTGGCAGAGAACCCACTTCATTTCTCCTGGTCTCCGCACAGAATTCTGTCCAACTTTGTGGAAAAATCCGGGGCACCTTACTCATTAGACTTTCTAGTCCCTTCCTACTAGCTTCTGCCATTCTCGTGATGCTTAGGAACGAGTTCATAAGGGATGGGGACAGAAGATGGGGCTTGGAGAGTCTCTCAGAAAGCCGTGGAGAGAGAGCAGCTTCTCATTCCCTATCTTCAGTATTGTTTACCAAGCAAGTGACCTTCTGGGAGGGGAATGGCCACCCTTGTGTGCTGCAGTGTGGGAGCCCAGCGCCACATCTTTGGGGCATCAACTCAGTCCCCGTAATGACTCCATTAGAGGTAATGCTACTAGGGAGGAAGGGAAAACAGAAGTGCAGAGAGGGTTTGTGACTAATAGCTGGTGGAGCCTCAACTTGGGAGGCTTGGCCACAGATTTCTCCAGCTTCAGAACCCAAACTCTTCACAAGTGCCCTACACTACTGTCCTGGAGTGCATCCCCCAAGGTGTGTTTAATAATTGGCAAGGAAAAACAAAGAGAGACAGAGTTGGGAGGAGAAAAAAGATGTGGGCTCTTAAAGGAGTTTTGTGTGTCTTTGAATTCCTTTCTTCAGCTCTCCGTTTCTAGCAAACCCCTTGAAGTAAAAGCAGCCTTGGCCCAGCAGTTAGGCAATGTGGGTTCTAATCCGGTTTCCCACTAAATTAGAGTTTTTAAAATACGTCCCTCAGTTTTCTCATCTGGATATCAGCAGGTTGGATGCAAAGAGCTCTGTGGTCCCTTCTCATGTCCTGGCTCTCAGCTATAAAAGAGCTGCACAGTAGGCACCAGGCCTTCTAGTCCCAGGGCTGGGGGTGGCCTCCAACAGGTTTCTGGAAAACATTCCAGTTCTTTCAGCCTCCTGGACCCACACCCCCTCCAGAAACAATACACAAGTGTGTCCTCAAAGTCATTCCAGGGGAAACTGGAGTGGATCACCATGGCATTTTCCTGCCCAGGGATCCATTTATCCCTCTGGTATCAGCTGCACAGCTTCCCCTAGAGGAACCATCCTTTCTCAGGCTTAGGCTCCAGGACAGGCCCAGGAAAAGCTGGGGAAACAGCCTATTTCCCACCCCCACCCACCTTGATTCCAGTGGCTGACTGAAGACTGGACACAGGATTCAAGGCAGGCTCAACTCCAAGACTTTGGCTGGAGATACCATGGTGGCCATTCTGCCTCCTTATGAGAAGTCTGTTAGAATGAAGCAACACAGAGGTAATCAAAGGTGGGAGCTGAAGAGGGGGAAATTGCTGAGACCCCCACCTGAGCCCCTATGCCTGAAGCATACACCCAGACCTTTTAGTTAACTGAGCAAATAAATCCACCCTCATTTTCTGTTGTTGTTTAAATGAATTTAAGTTGAATTAGGTTGTAACACTTAGGCACTTTTTGAGACTTTTTGAGAACCCTCTCTCAGGGTTCCGGAATCCTAGTTATTTATTTAAAAAGGAGGAGGACGAGGAGAAGGAGGAGAGTAGTTGTAACTTGTAGTAGTAATAGTAAACTCTAAAAGCCCCACGAAAGACAAGGTCTAATGCGGTGTTGGGAAACACACAGCATGATTACCACCACTCCCTGCCCTAATCCCAGCACAAACATCACTCATTTATCAGGATTCTTCTCTGTGCAGAATTCTTGGCAGCCACTGCCAATCACTGAAGTTGGCTCCAAGTTGAAGTCTATTTTCCAACAAAGCATCACTGCACTGTGCATGGTGCCAGTCAGAGGACTAGAGATGGTTTGAATCAAAGGACTGACTGCCATGGCCTGTCTGGAGGACACTAATCACAAAGACAGATGCACTTTGGTATACTGGCAAAATCAATAGTGCCAATAGTTAAACCCGGAGCGATTGCCAGGGTCGGCCCCGAGGGAGGGGTCTCTGGGCAGTGGCGTCTGAGAGAGGGAAGCATGGAGCTCAGTTAACTGACTCCTGGAGCTGAGGCATGGGCAGAAGGCATCTTGACCCAAATGGCTAGGCAGCCTCCCATGGCACCTCGGGGGCCTCGGCCCTGGCGCCACACCCCACGTAACACTGGCCACGGCATGACGGGGAGACCCCTCTACATGCCCACTGGCAACCCAGGGCTCTCGGGGCTGCCAACTCTGAGCAGACCACGTTTCCTTGGGCATAAGCCTCCGACAAAAATTCTAAGTTGGTGCCTTTCTAATTCTGAAGCTGACGGATGCTTTTCTCACTCTCACACAGCTCAAAATCAACCTGACATTTCTAAAATTACATTTTGAAGGCAATGAATCTATAAAGTGCACCAAAGCCCATGCCAGCTGGGAGAAAAAAAAAAAGGAGGAAAGAAATGTTTCTGGCTCCCTCCCTTAAATGTGAATATTCTTTCTATATTGGCTGGGGCAGCAGAAGGGAAGGGAAACTTGCAGACCACCTAAAACGGCAGGGAAGTTTTCAAGGAGCAGGTGCTCTCTGAATTTCCCCGAGGGTTCCAGCGCAATTGTGGTGCAGACCAGCCTGGAGACACGGGATGAAAATGAGGGAGTAGTGAGACTGGGCATGAAGGGGATGGGGCACTTTTGTCTTCCTCCAGCCAGAGACAGTCCCTTCTACAGGCGGCTGGGGAGGGGCCCCGAGGTGGGCCCCCAAGGAAGCCCCCCAGCTGCACGGCACACAGACTGCTTATAAGAGAACAAGCCAGCAGCTGCTTCTCCTTAAACTAGAGAGGTGGCCGAGGGGGCTTTGTGCGAGCCAGGATCAAAACATGCCTATCAAGAGGGATCAAGAGCCTGGCCAAGTGCATTGCAGATGGGAACCGGAATTGAATTTTTTTTTTTTTTTAAACAAAAATGGGTAAAGAAAATTCAGGGAGAAAATGCCTCCATGTGCAGTACTTTCCTTTTACCTGTAGCAAAGCCTGTTCAACTACCACAATCCTCCACTCCCCTTCACCCACAGATCAACTTTAAAATGCAACCTGCTAGTGTTTAAAGTGATCCATTCAACAGAGAAGGACCCCACAACCCTTTGCCCCCCCCCAGCCCCCCCCAGCCAGCTCCCTGTGCCTCCAGCCTGGATGGAGCAAGTCCACCCCTCCTGCTTCGCTGCTTGTCTCCTTCCTGCGGCTGCTGTGGGCTTCCATGGCTGTAAGGAAATGTGACCCAGGAGGAAATGATGAGTCCTTAATCCTCATTCCACACAGGGCAGCTCCATTCAGCAATCATGAGTCCAGTGCTTGCCAGGTGACTCCAGGGTGGTTATTACTAGGGAGACACAGAAGATTTGGGGAAATAGGGACCCTGTTCTCTGAGGTTGCCACACCTTGTGCTAGAGGCAGATGCATACACATAGGCCTCCCAGGCCAGGCAGAGCACCCAGCATGTGCTAATAATCATGAGACAGACAAGGGCAGGAAGGAGAGATGAGGGGTGGTTCCTTGAAGGAAAACTGCGTGCTACACTTAAAGGAGGTGGGATGTGAGGAGCTCCTGAGGGGTGAGTTGGAGTGTGATGGCAGCTGAGGGTAAGGAGAGGGGGCCATCCCAGGTGGAGTGTGCAGCAAATGATACGCCAAGAATCGAGAGGAAGGGCTTAAGGATCCAGCAAGCTTTCCTGGGTATGTGTGGGAGGGTGGGTGGGGGCCCTAGGACTATATCCTGATATCCTCAAAGACCACGCGTGCCAGGCTAAGGAGTCATTCAGTGAGATTCTTACAAACAGACTCCGTGGACAGTCTGGGCTGGCCAGGAAGTGAGCAGAGCTACACCAGCCATATAACACACTGAGTCCCAGCCCCAACTCGCCTTCAGGTCTACTCCTGCACAGAGGAGGAGGAGGAGAGTGCTTTCCAGTCCCCCAAGGCTGTCTTGCAGAGGACAGTGGCTACTGCTGGGGCCAGGTCCTTCCATGAGGGCACACCGCAGAGAGCAGAGAAGCCGCATTCTTGTGTTGGGGGAAGTGGCCACAGGAGACCCTTTCAGAGCTGGAGAGTGAAGCTAGCAAGAGTGCAGCAGAGACCTCCCTGGCCCAGCTGGGCACGTAGGATCAATTCTTGCTAATCAGCAACCTGCCCCCACTCAGGGCCACAGGCGACACAGGGAAGGGAGGAGAGCCACCAGCCCCGGGGGCTCCACATGGGTGGAGTGTCTGAACCGCTTACATGCCCACATGCAAAACTTGCTCCCATCTCTGCCTGAGCCAACAGAAGTCCATGCCCTCCTCCCCTGGACTGCATGTGGGCGATGGATGGGATCATGTCAATAGCTTCACACAGGTGGAACTAGTCCTTGTCCTCTTCCTCTCCAGCCCCCACGCCCATGGCACCTCCCCCACTGAGTCCCCACAACAGACTCTATTAACTTGCCTTCGCATGTCAAATATCTCTGCCGTTTAATTAAAAAAACAAACAGTTAATATCACAAGGGACTCCAGAAATACATGCTTTTGAATTCCAGCCATGGAGAAGACAGGAGACACTAGCATCTGCAGCTATGGCTGTTTCCCACAGAAAGGTCCGTGCAGTGGACTCCAGCCCAGCCCTCTGCCCACGTGAGAACACAGCCCACCTGGCAAGGGCTGGGGAAGAGTGTCTGTGGTGGCCGGGGCTTCACCCAGAGCTCACTGGAAGGTGGCTTGGCGGGAAGGGAGGCTCTTCCTGCAGCCCCCTCTAAGGGCCACAGAGGCAGGGGGTACATGAGGAGGCATTTAAGGTCTGTTAGCCTCCCGCTGCCCATCTAAGGCGACAGGATTCACTATTTAAACCTAACACAGAACAGGCTTATGATTTGAGCTCGGATCTCACGGTATCCCAGTGACACATCAGCAGCCATGATGCAGATGTAGGCAGGAGAGCAGGCAGCCTGGAAAGTGCTCCTGGACAATCCTGTATTATTAGATCCACACAGAGAATACACTCAAACCCTTTATACCAAATAAGAGTAAATAATTATACCAATATAAACAGGGCCTCTGACCCTCTCATTTTATTAAAATGGCACGTAAATATTAAAACAGCATACTGATCACTTCATACGTCTGCGTGCCCCCAGGGTGTGGCCGAGGAGTGGCACGTGGGCTCCCACCGTGAGGCTGCAGACTCATGCATTGAGCAATTCGTGTTCTTTATCGGTTTTCCCAACAGCGTCAGGATTTGATAATGGGTCGAGGTCGGCAAAGAGGCTGAACCAGGCAGTCAGGTCCGAGGCAGCCTTCACAGGCTCTGGAGAGAGAAGAGAAAACATGAATGCAGGCCCCTTCCAAACACCCACCTCTGCCACGCGGCATGCAGGTGGGTCCAAGCTCCTCTTGAAAAGGGAGGATGCCGTGCTGCTCAGTCAGACAAATCCCACTACACTCTGCCTCTAAAACTAGTTAGGGAATTCCGTGTCTCCCTGTGGGCTGGCCGATGAACAATTCTAAACCACGGCCTAAAGCTCAGTGAGGAACGAGCCCGGTGTTAACCCACACCTGTACCCCGCTCCAATGGACGGCACGGCCCACCAAGCTGCCCAAACCTCAGACCGCACTGCTTCAACACAAGCAGGACATAACACTGTGATTTCAGAAATCAGACCGAATGGCTGAGAAAGCAAGTTGCCTTCCAGTGCCCACTGCAGGAATCTTTTCAAATCTGCCGGGTCAAGGGAAATACTGTGGCCACTCTTTTCAGGCTTCAAAGCAACAGGCCTAGAGGAGGGTTGGCACCTAAGGCCTGGCCACTCCTCTTTTCTCAGGGTCCCTGCCTTCTTCCACCCTCTCCCGTCAGAGGAAGGAGGCCTTTGACATGCCCCCCTCCTCCTGCTGGGCTCTAAATCGCCCCCACACCCCCCTTCCACTTCACCCTCACTAGAGCCTCCCCTTCAGCTGCTCTTTCTCTGAACCACCTGCCCTAACTTCCCGAATGACAACAATTAGAGAACCACATTCTTTTCCAGATGAGAATATTTGCCAATGAGTGCCTGATGCAAGTGATTTCTACATAAGCTGGGGGCTCTTCTCTATATAAATCATTCCACATGAGGATCGAAGTTCCACATGAGGATTGGCTTGGATGACCTAGGCTTTTTTCCCTTCCCCAACAGGTGGGAGTATCAAAAGCACGAAGAAAATGTCTGACAGGTTATCCTCCTTGCAGAGAGCGGCTAGGAACGTGCCTGCCATCTGGCTTAAAGCGTCTCGGAAAATGTTGGTGGGACACGCTGCTAAGAGGTTATGCCAGGGTAATGGAAGAGTGGTGATGGAATTGTCCCACATCAACAGGCCTTTAGTCTTTTCATGAAAATGGCACTGAAACATTAAGATAATGTGCCAATCGTGGTATACTTCTGATTCCCGTTTTTTTAATACATAATCTCTCATAGATTATCATGAGATAATCAATGCATCTATTATAGACATAAAATTACTGCAAGCAAGGCGAGTTGATAACGCGCAAGTTATTACTGTTTAACATTAATTGAATTCCATGGGCAATTAGCCTGCAGAACACTTGGCTTAGTTTGACATGATAAACTGAGACTTAAGAGATCTCAATATAGTTTGGTTGGATCGTAGAGTGGGAACAACTTTTAAAAAAGGGAATAACTCATTTTTAGTCATGTAGGAGGCCATAACAGGAAACTATGGAGCAAGACTGATTTAGAGAGGATGAGCCTATTTCTAGTCTTGATAGGGAATATCAAGGTATCTTAAAGATATCTCCAGCAAAAATACGCTACACCCACTCCCCCTTCCCCCTAACCTCCCAGAGATCTAGGGCAGCCCTCAGAGATAGCTATGGCCTTGCTAGGAGGAGTCAGGTGACTGTACTTCGGGGGCAGCCTTCACATTCCCTAGACCTCCACTGCTGGAGTTTGGGAAACCAGGTGCAACTGTGCAATACCTAAAAGAACATCATGGGAATGCTTCTGGATGATAAAGACACCACCTGTTACTTCCTGTGACCAACATGGGGAAAGTGGGTGATGACCAAAGGAAGAGAGAGGCAGCTGCAAACACAGAGATCTTCAGTAGAGCACATGTTCTCTTTGGGGGCCTATCTCAAAAAAGAACAGTCCCATGAGCTTGAAAGGCCCTCCCGTGACAACGAAGGAAAGCCAGCTCTCTCCAAGGAGCACTAATTAAACGCCTTGTTTGCTGGTGGCAATGGTATTTTCAGTTAAAGATAGCAGACCTCAGTGGTCTTTCCTACCTTGCTGTATCCACCCGATGTCGGGCAGCACCCAGTCATGTGGAGATGGGAATTTGATTCCTCCTCATTTGGTTTGATAAAGGGAATTATGAATTAGGACACTATGCCAGAAAAAGTCAGAATGCAAAACTCTACACCCTTGTAGCCCCTGATTTGCACCCTTGGGTGCTCAAACAGAAATTAGTAAAGACAGACAGAAAATAGGCCAGTGGAAAGGAAGACAACTGTCATTTCCAGGGAATAAAACACTTGTATTACTTTTCATTGCAGGGCTGTTGTCATTTGGACTGCGTGCCTGTGGTGCTGGCCATGGAGTAGGAGGAGGACTGACATTGCTCTCTGACCAGCCTAATGTTCAAAACCAGAGGTGGTTAGGTCTGGGGAAGAGCAGACACACCACCCCGCCAGTTGCTGGGCGCACACATGGTCTCACCCACAGTGGCCTCCAAAGAAAGGGAAGAGGGTGGTGTGACAGGCCCTACTGCCATAATCCTCATACCTGGGATAGGTTTTAGGGGACAGTAGATATGTATAATCATGCCCAATTCATAAGTATGGAAAATTAGGGAAAAGACTGGATTTTGAAAAAAGAAACTGTGAAATTGCTAAGGTTAAGACATTTTTTCTTTTAGCTCTATCCCCATTTTTCTTCTCAAAGAGCATTTTTTCATGGTCACACCAAAGATTATCCATAGCATTCCAAGGAAATTAAGTGCCTTGCCTTTCTGTCATAAATGGAGAAAGCTTAAAGAAGTGACCACCAGTAAATGTAGCAATATAACTAATAAACTGCAAGTCTTCTCTACTTAATATGATCCAGCTCATTTATTCTCTATACAGCTAATTTAAATTGAGAAGTTTAGTTAATACACAGAAATAAGTGGTAGTCTAGTCCAAATGTACGAGGGGAAAGCAAGCCCCCCTTAACTTGATGTTTTATCTTACAGTGGCATTTAGCCTGTGAAACCCAACATTCTGTAACGTCCCTGCGTTCTGCCCGCCCCTGATGTGTATGTGGCATTTTGCATTCGGCAGTTCTGCTTTGGGGGAAGCAAGCCTCGTTTCCCAGGGCATTCACTATGTGTGCTAGATGTTTGGGTATGGCTTACGTTTAATTTAGAACTTTACCAAATACTTGTTTGCACGTCTGCTTTAATTCTTGGTGTAGAAGTCCTGTCTTCTCAGTGAGACAAGAAATTGTTTCTTCATTGTGCCCCAAAATACCTAATGCAGTATAGGAAAGGTGTTGTGGACTAAATCCATTCTTGACTCTCACTGTGGAACACAGACCATCAGATGATGCACCACTGTCGGGTCCAGCATTGTTAAAACTGTATCCTTTTACTGGGATGCTCTGGTTATAGCATTTTCTTCAGAAAAGGTTTTGTCTCTGATAAGGCCCTCATGAGACAACATGTTTGGATGGCACAGTTCAGCTGGGCCAGTGAAACCAATTTCTGGAGCAAGAAAGTCACGGAGCTTATGCCAAAAAAATTACAGGATTTCATGCTATTCATTTCCCCTGCCATCATTCTAAGATGCGTAATAGGGGACTTAACTAGCGAATCTTACTATATTTATTAGTTTGCATTTTTGTGTCATCCCCTAGAGTTGTGAGCCTCCTGAAGGCAGGAATCACATATTATTCATCTTTACCATCCTTTAGTGTACCTTCTGGCACATGATGGCTGTTGAATTATGATAAACTCTTGGAGAATATTCTTTTTTTTTTTTTTTTTTTATTTGAGAGAGAGGGAATGAGAGACAGAGAGCATGAGAGGGAGGAGGGTCAGAGGGAGAAGCAGACTCCCTGCCGAGCAGGGAGCCCGATGCGGGACTCGATCCCGGGACTCCAGGATCATGACCTGAGCCGAAGGCAGTCGCTTAACCAACTGAGCCACCCAGGCGCCCTCTTGGAGAATATTCTTAAACCATGAGAAGTACACTTACGAAGCATTATTTTAAGAGATGGCAAAACAATGCTTGGCACAGTAGATGTTATAATACTGGCTGAATTATTTTATTTTGGGCAAGTGGCATACAAAAAACTCTATGAAGACTAACCAATGACAAATGAAACAGGTGGCCTGCGATCTATCTATTGGATCTAAAACAATGAGAACATAGAGAGGGTTTTTTAAAGTATTACTATGCATTGGAAAGGTATTTGAATATGTCATTAACATAATTCATAAACAGTCAAAAGCACCAGATTCTGAAGGAGCTTTCTGGGATAATGGAAATGTTCTAATGCTGGACTACAGTGATTATTGCACAGTATAAATTTACCAGAAATCCTTGAATCACTTTTACAATGGCTGATTTTTATGGTATGTAAATTATAGTTCAAAAAAAGTTATAAAACTGACATATCTGTGTAATCCAGGAGTAACAAAACTTCCCTAGTTCCTAGATAACTGGCCCATGAGCATTACTTCTAAGCACAAATCACATAAAACAGTGGTAAATGTGGGAAGTTAGAGCTGTGGATCCACAGTATGCCAAATAAAGCTGAAAGAGGTAGAATGTAACTGAGTAAATTTTACCCTTTTCCCTACAACCCTGTCCCCAACACCAAAGTAGTCAAGACCCATGGAACCTTTCCACCAACCCCTGCAAGCCTGACCTCAATCTCTCAGAGCAGTGGTTCCTAAATTGTGGTGCCCACACCCGCAGCATGGGCACCACCTGTGAGCTGGCTAGAAATGCAAGTTCCCAGGGCCAACCCTGACCCAGTGAATCAGAATCCCCAGGGGCAGAGCCCAGGAAACTGTTTTAACAACCCCCCAGTGATTGTTATGCAAGTGCAAGTTTGGGAAGCACTGTCATAAGTGGTCTCCAAGGAGGCTGCAAGGCTCATCATGTCCATCAGGATAAGGTCCAACACCTTGGCTGAGGCCAGAGCCAGACAAAGACAGAGGCCCTCCTAGGAAACAGAGGGGTCTGTCTCAAAACCCCACCTTCTCAGGTCCTGCAGTTTTAAGCTCTTCAGTCCCATGAAGCTCTCTGAGTTCAAGGAGGCCCACACT